AAAATGTTTCAACTGACAAATTCTTCCTCATAAGATAAGCAATCGTTTATCAGTAGACAAATTTTTGATATATCTTACAGTAACCGAGATAAGTGAGCTTAAACTTGAGTGTGTGGGGGCCCTACTATTACAGGTTTTCCGGTAGTTTTAAATTTTTATTCATCTTGTGATAATTTTTGCATACTTCTCACAGATTTCTTTGAAGCAAAATTAAACATAAAACGTTTTATTGGAGACATCAGGATACACAGACAGACAGATTTATTTATTTGCCGAATTTAAGAAAAATCGAAAACGAGAGAGAGAGAGAGAGAGAGAGAGAGAGAGAGAGAGGGAGAGAGAGAGAGAGAGAGAGAGAGAGAAGCAGAGAAAAATGTTTCTAAAATTTATTTCCTTTTCCTGGTCTTGTTCTGGTTGTGGGCTCTTTTTCTTGCCTTTTCCCTCATCTCCTCTTCTTTTTCTGAAAAAAGGAAATTCGCTTTTTCAGTTTTTAGCATTTTCTAGTAATTTTCAGCCAGAAAAGTAGGAAAATTTTGAGTCCTGTTAAAACTTTGGCGAATTTTCAGCTTTTTACAGATAAATTATACCTTTTTGGACAATTTTCTCGTTTGCCTCATCGATCATTTTGTTTTCAGCGTCGGTGAGTTCAAATGTTTTGCTCTCCTCGAAAATTGAAGCCTGAAAAAAAGTTTTTTCAAGGTAATTTCAACTAATTCTAGTAATTTATTTCTAGTAATTTGCAGCATTTTCAGCTCATTTTTCAGATTTTTCGAAACGTTGAGGTCCGTAGTATTTGGTTTCAAAATGTTCATCATGTTATTTCCTACACGTTGGCGTCTTCAAAACTCTTCTAGCTCTATTTTGAAGCGAGTTATGACTTGTTTTGTGTAATGAGAGACGCAGAGAAACTAGACGCGTCTCGTTTCACTGCGTCTCCCCCTTTCCCATAGTCTTTCATTCCGCTGACTTTAACTTGTCTCAAACTCGACGTAGAGAATTGATTTTAAGCTCATTTTGAAGCGGAAAGCTAGCCTGATACAGGGATTTTAAACAACATAATTTTAAATACAAATATCTTTCAAAAAATCACGCATTTGAGGGGGCTTGTTTGATTCAAAAATGATGTCCCTAAAATTCTCTACAACTTGGCGTTTTCAAAACTCTTCTAGCTCTATTTTGAAGCGAGTTATGACTTGTTTTGTGTAATGAGAGACGCAGAAAAGCTAGCCGCGTCTCGTTTCTCTGCGTCTCCCCCTTTCTGCGTTATCTCTAGCTGAGCTAGCTTTAACGGCGCATAACTCGGCTTAAACTCAACTGTTTTTAATGATTTTAGGCTCATTTTGAAGCTGAAAATGTACACAAGCTATTATTAACAATTTCCATAACAAAATTTTAATCATGTTTGCTTTTTTCCTAATTCATTTTAAACTATTTTTCATAGATTTTTTCTGTAACATTATTTTCGTTATTTATGACTATTTTAGACCAATTCCAGTCTTTCTTCAGCAATATTCAGCTAGGCTTACCAAAAATCGCTTCATAATATCCATATAATCCTCTGGCACATGAAAATAGAGACATTCAATCATGACACTCATCAAGTAAGGATCATAATGATCTCCTTTGAAGAATTGCTGAATCCATGCCAGCTTCACAAGCACTCGAAATACCCAAATTGGCATTCTACCGGGTTTTGATCCTCTCACAAATATCGGATGCTTTTGTAGATCAAAATCCTGGAGAACTTTATCCAAATGTTCCATATAAATCTCGTTATCCGCTTGCCGACCGTGCAGAAAATAGTTTGGCACTGCTCTCGGATCCTCGTCAAGTCGATCCGCCGAGATTCGTGCCGTTTGAATCATGATGCACTGGTTGGAACAGTCGATGTACTTGTCCTGGAAAAAAAACTAGTTTTTATACAGAAAAACGGAAAATTACAGAATTGAAACCTCAATTTTCAGATTCCCCTTGAAATTTCACTCAAGGCGCTTTTTTGAAAACCGTTCTAGCCTTACTTTTAAGCGCGTTATGACTATTTTTGTGAATCGAGAGACGCAGAGAAGCTAGCCGCGTCTCGTTTCTCTGCGTCTCCCCTTTCCTCGTTATCTCTAGCTGAGCTAACTTTAAAGGCGCATAACTCGGCTCATATTCGACATAGTGGATTGATTTTAAGCTCATTTTGAAGCGGAAAACTAGTTCTACACAATTCAAAGTGTTTTTGATGCAATTTTCAGATAATTCAAATACAAACTCTTGAGTTTTTGAGTTCAAGAGCTTTGTAATTTTATTCCCTACATTTTAGTCTTTTCAAAACTCTTCTAGCTCTATTTTGAAGCGAGTTATGAGCCTTTAAACTGTGGGAGAGATGCAGAGAAGCTAGACGCGTCTCGTTTCTCTGCGTCTCCCTTTTCCTTATTATCTCTAGCTGAGCTAGCTTAAAAGGCGCGTAACTCGGCTTAAACTCAACGTAGCGAATTGATTTTAAGCTCATTTTGAAGCGGAAAATTAGCTATACATAATAATTCAATCAATCATGTCTTAGATGATGATATTCAAAAAATTAAATAACTTCAATTTCAAGTTTTTGGGTTCAAAATGTTTTGTAATGATAATTCTTACATTTCTTGTTTTCAACATGTTTCTAGCTGGATTTTGAAGCGCGTTATGACTATTTTTGTGAATCGAGAGACGCAGAGAAGCTAGCCGCGTCTCGTTTCTCTGCGTCTCCCCTTTCCTCGTTATCTCTAGCTGAGCTAACTTTAAAGGCGCATAACTCGGCTCATATTTGACATAGAGAATCGATTTTAGGCTCATTTTGAAGCGGAAGACTAGCTGAACAATTCAGAATGGTTCATAAAATTTGTGTACCTGCAAAAAGATCCCAAGCGTCGTCATCAATCCAATTGTCTCTTGTCTCAACGTATTCCGATCCTCCGTCTCTTGATTCCAATTTTCTCCCATCACAAGACTCTCAAAAACGAACATGCATGCAGAAAAGTTATCAGAGACCACTTTCATGTCCGGTGCAAAGACTCGGATGTGTCCATTACGTTGCTGGTACTCGCGGCGGGTGACTTCGTGGGACGGGTCGGGAACGAGCTGGAAGAAGTTAAAAATTTTATGTAAGAAAATGTTTGCCATATTATTCTCTATAACTTGGCGTTTTCAAAGCTTTTCTAGCTTTTAAAGAGAGTTATGCGCCTTTGAAGTTATGGAGAGACGCAGAGAAGTTAGAAGCGTCTCGTTTCTCTGCGTCTCCCGCCTTTCATATGGTCTCTAATTGCCGCTGACTTCAAAGGCGCATAACTTGACTCAAACTCGGCATATAGAATTGATTTTAGGCTCATTTTGAACCTTATAACAAGCCCAACCAACTCATATTATATAATTATAGGAACGTCCCGAAATTTTCCAGAACTGATGAAATTTTTAAAAAACTGTAATTTTAATGCCTAAGTATTTAGGTTCCAAATGTTTGTCATGTAATTTCCCACATTTCTGTGTTTTTAAAACCTTTCTAGCTAGATTTTATAGCGAGTTATGATCAATTTAACAAACCGAGAGACGCAGAGAAACTAGACGCATCTCGTGTCTCTGCGTCTCTCTTTTCCTCCTTTGCTCTCGCTCTCCAAACTTTAAAGGCGCATAACTTGGCTCAAAATCAACGGATCAAGACGGTTTTTTAGCTCATTTTAAAGCACAAGCCATAACCTACTGTAATCCGTGATTTGTCAATATCAAAGTTCTCAAGAACTGTCTCAAACTGCTTAATCGTAATTCCTCGATGCCAATTATCCATCCAACTCATTTTGCACTCCAGCAGACGCACTAAAAATAGAAATTTGTGGATTTAATTAGGTACAATTGGTCGGAATTCAGCCAGGGGTTTCGCCTGAATCCTAATTAGCCCCAATCAGTTCTAATTAAGCCTAATTAAGCCACAAACTCACTGTCAGTTGACTCAATTGGTGTGCCTTGAAGCTTCAAAGCTGCCGGAATGATATCCAAAACTTCTCCGGTGAAAATGAATTTTTTAGTTTCCCCATTGAGCATTTTGTATGGTATGACACGAGCGTAGATATGTTTTGGGAAGTGACTCTGAAAACTTAGACTAGAAATAGGCTGAAAATGGGCCAAAAAAGGGCTAAAAATTGGCCCAAAATGGGGTTAAAAGAAGCTTAAAATAGATCAAAAACAAACTGAAAATAAGCTTAAAATGACTAAATTAGGCTTAGAAAAAGCTGAAAATCTGATTTTTAGAATTTTAGAATTTTAGAATTTTAGAATTTTAGAATTTTAGAATTTTAGAATTTTAGAATTTTAGAATTTTAGAATTTTAGAATTTTAGAATTTTAGAATTTTAGAATTTTAGAATTTTAGAATTTTAGAATTTCTGAATTTCTGAATTTCTGAATTTCTGAATTTCTGAATTTCTGAATTTCTGAATTTCTGAATTTCTGAATTTCTGAATTTCTGAATTTCTGAATTTCTGAATTTCTGAATTTCTGAATTTCTGAATTTCTGAATTTCTGAATTTCTGAATTTCTGAATTTCTGAATTTCTGAATTTCTGAATTTCTGAATTTCTGAATTTCTGAATTTCTGAATTTCTGAATTTCTGAATTTCTGAATTTCTGAATTTCTGAATTTCTGAATTTCTGAATTTCTGAATTTCTGAATTTCTGAATTTCTGAATAATTTTCTTACCGTAAACCTGACAAGATTCCCCAAAAAGCATTCAGTGGCAATATCGATTTTCACAGGATCCTGATATCGGCTCCACATTCTTTCCATATTCTCAAAATCCTTTGAATCGATCAAAAAATAACTGAATTTCTTGTTGAATTTGAATTTGTCCCAATATTGACAGAAATTCGATCGGAGGACGTTCCCATCGGGAAGGTGGACTGTGAAATCTGTCTGAAAATTTTAAACGGTTTATATCTTAAAAACTAAAAAAGCTAGAGAAAAGTTGTCAATTACAAAATTGCTCAGCATGAAATTTCTCACATTTTTGTTGTTTGCAAAATTTTGATAGATATTCTAGTTTTTGAGGTATGCGCCTTTAAAAATGGCGCGCACCTATAGTTTCAGGAGTAGGGGAGGTAGCTCTCCGAGGAAAGGGGCAGACATCTTTAAAAGCGCATATCTCAAAAACCAAGGCACTTAAAGAAAAGTAGTAAGTTACAAAATTGCTCAGCTTAAAATAATACACATTTTTGTGATTTTCAAAATTTTGATAACTACCGAAGTTTTAGAGATATGCGCCTTCAAAGTTGAGGCGCCCTAGGAGCGAAGCTCGGAAGGTGGCGAGGGGATTTTATGATGAATTCAAAGGCGCATATCTCTAAAACTACAGTATTTATCAAAAATTTGTAAACTACAAAAATACATAAAATTTTATGCTGAGCAATTTTGTAGTTGATAACATTTTGATATCTCTTCCAAAAAATGAGATAACTCACTTACCATACAAGTCTCTCCTTTGGTGTACTCAAATCGCATATCAGCCAGATCCATCTGTTGAAGTTTGGTGTTTTTGTGAAGTTTGGGTGGTTCTCTGTCATGGTGTCTGGAAATGCTTTTTTTTTTAATTCAAGAAAAAAATGAATGGGAAAAAAATTGATGCAGAAATTCAGAAATTCAGAAATTCAGAAATTCAGAAATTCGGAAATTCAGAAATTCAGAAATTCAGAAATTCAGAAATTAAGAAATTCAGAAATTCAGAAATTCAGAAATTCGGAAATTCAGAAATTCAGAAATTCAGAAATTCAGAAATTCAGAAATTCAGAAATTCAGAAATTCAGAAATTCAGAAATTCAGAAATTCAGAAATTCAGAAATTCAGAAATTCAGAAGTTCAGAAATTCAGAAATTCAGAAATTCAGAAATTCAGAAATTCGGAAATTCAGAAATTCGGAAATTCAGAAATTCAGAACATCAGAAACTCAGAAATTCAGAAATTCAGAAATTCAGAGATTCAGAAATTCAGAAATTCAGAAATTCAAAAATTCGGAAATTCAGAAATTCAGAAATTCAGAAATTCAGAAATTCAGAAATTCAGAAATTCAGAAATTCAGAAATTCAAAAATTCAGAAATTCAGAAATTCAGAAATTCAGAAATTCGGAAATTCAGAAATTCGGAAATTCAGAAATTCGGAAATTCAGAATCTCCTTTTCTATCTACTCCAAATTAATTAATTTCCCTAAAATCAATAAAAAATCAATAATCTGTTTTCTTAAAAAATTCATATAAGAAAGCTCTCTTATATGCATCTGACCTCATACTCTGTCGCCCAGGCGAGAGAGTGAGAGAGAGAGTGAGAGACGCAGAGAATTTTAGGAGAAAAAAGACGTCGTGCTGTGACGATGGCGTCGCGTGTCGCGCAGCACTTTTCCAACAAAAAACTGAAGGAGGAAGACGAGAGAGTGTGTGAGGTGAAGAGAGTGGTTAGAGAAAGCAGAGAAAAAATGAAGAAGAGAGAGAGAGAAAGGAGGTGTTTTATGAGCCTATTTTGGCGCACATTAAAAGAGAGATTATTGAAGAGAATTTAAAAATTGGGAGAATTGAGAATCTGGACATCTGGACACATAGAAAGACATTTAGAAATTTGAAAAAATGTGAGGAAAACTGAAAAATGGAAAAAAGAAAAAATCGAAAAAAGATCATCGGGACAGGAAACACAGATGGGCAGAAAGTTTTCTAAATTTTAGAATTTTAAAATTTTAGAACTTTAGAATTTTAGAATTTCTGAATTTCTGAATTTCTGAATTTCTGAATTTCTGAATTTCTGAATTTCTGAATTTCTGAATTTCTGAATTTCTGAATTTCTGAATTTCTGAATTTCTGAATTTCTGAATTTCTGAATTTCTGAATTTCTGAATTTCTGAATTTCTGAATTTCTGAATTTCTGAATTTCTGAGTTTCTGAATTTCTGAATTTCTAATATTCTAAAAAATTTTTGAAAAATTTTTTTTTTTGATCTACCGATTATTAAATTTTCGAAAATCCGCCAAAATTTGAATTTTGTTTTCTTTCTAACCGCTAATTTTCTTACTTTTTTTGGTTTCAGAAATACAAATTCCATTTCCATTTTTCTCATTTTTTTCAGAATTTTCACAATTTTTCTTGAAATTGTCATACTTTTCTCTTCGTTACGTGTTTCATCATTTTTGGCGGACATCCGGACGAACAGACACACAGAAATATGTTCTATTCTAGATTCACCATGTCATCATCGTCGTCATCAGATAATTCAAAAAAGGAGAATCCCGAAAAACATCAGAACGAAAAACCGGACGAAAACGAGGAGCCGGTTGGAGGTGAGTACAGTAGATTTAAAGGCGCATATCTTGAAAATCAATGAAGCTAGAAAAAAGTTGTCAACTACAAAATTGTTTAGCATAAAATTTTACACATTTTTGTTGTTTACAAACTTTCAATAGCTATTGTAGTTTTTGTGATATGCGCCTTTAAAGGAGCCTCGGAAGATGGAGTAGAAAATATATTAAGTTGAATATTTGAAAAATTGAAAATAGGTAAAACCAAAATGTTTGAAATTCGAAGCCAATTTTGAAAAATGTAAATATCTCAAAAGCCCAAATTTGGAGAGTTTTGATATTTATACCATTTGAAAGAACACAAAATTTTACTTAAGGAAATGTAAATTTTGAAAATTTTGAATAATTGAAAAAGGTTCAAAAATTGGCTGAAAACTCCACATTTCTAGATTTTTCGAAAAAAAATTCTTTTCCAGATCACTCGAAACTGGCAGCCGCCGGACTGAAACGAGCCGAAATTCTGCGACAACGAAAATTGAATAAAAAGGCGCAAAAGCAGGTGATTGCTCAGCATACAGTAAGACGACCAGAAGTTCCAACTACCCTTCATTCGGGAATGTCAATGCAAGAAGTGGCATTTTTCAAACGGAAGTATCAGGAGGCAGAAAAAGTTCAGAAGAGAAATTCTAGAAGTCATCAGAATCCACCGACAACGTCTTCTGCAACTATTCAAATTTCTATGAAGCTTTCTGAAGACGTGAAGTCTTCTGAAGGTTTTTCTGAAACTCAAGAACTTCGAATGCTGTCTCCCAGGCCTTGGGGATGTTCGACGACATCTTCTGAAGCGTCGACGTCGTCTGTAAGCTATTTGGAATTTAAAACCGATAATTGAGTTTCAAAGCTGAAAATCTGCGGATTCTAAAAATCCAAAAATTTTGAAATTCGGTCAAAAATGAAGTGAGATACAGTAAATTTAAATTTGAAGCTGAAATTTTTTGTAAAAAGCTGAAACTACCGTAACTCCACTCTCCTTTGAAACTACAAAATTTTTATGTTTTTGGAATCAGCATGTTTTCAACTTTGAAATGAGTATAAACACGGCTAAGTCTGAAAATTTTTTAAATTTTGGGTCCCACCACGAAAAATTCAATTTTCGAAATTAGTCGTGCTTATACTCATTTTAAAGCTGAAAATTAGCGAATTCTGAAAATCTACAGATTTTGAAACTTGGTATAAAATGAAGGGAGATACGGTAGATTTCAATTTCCCCCTAATTTTCAGCTCGGAATTTAAATTTACCGTAATCTCTTCATTTCTGTCCGAATTTCGAAATTTTCCGATTTTTGGAATCACCAGATTTTCAGCTTCAAAATGAGTATAAACACGACTGTGTTTGAAAAAGTTAATTTTTCAGAATCCTCCGACGTCTTCTGGAAACATCCAGTGTCCGACAACAGAATCTCAACAAGTGCCTTCAACGTCTCCTGGACCCTCACATGTCTTCACTTATATCCCTCGGAATCCATCTGAAATCTTCAGAAACCCTCCATTTCCAATCACGCCTTCTGGAGACGCTCAGAATCCTCCGATGTTCTCCAGAAACGTTGCCAACCAGCCGACGATGTCCTATGGAGCTGCTCAACATCCATCGTCAATTCCTGAAGTTGTTCAGAATCGACCAACGTCTTCTGGAACCTTCGCGACGCCTCCAGCTTCGTTTGGAGCACTTCAGATTCCGACGACGTCTTCTGAAGGGCATCAGAATTCTGATAGAAGCAGTCAATTCATTATCACACCTTCTGGGCAAGTTTTTCGACGTCTCGTGGCTTCTGAAGGTCCAGCGACGTCTTCTAATATTCCAAAATGGTCGTCAGACGGAAGTAACCATCAAATTGAGATGCGTAGCGGGCTGAAAGTCTCATGGTTGAATCCTGAACGCTTTGAGAATCTTCCAACGTCTTCCGAAAGCATTCAACAGCAGATGTCGTCAACAGGAGTCGTTCAGAATCGTCCAACGTCATCTGGAATACATAAGAATCGTTTTGGAGCCCAGCAACACCAAGCCACGTCTTCTGAAGGTCTTCAGCACATCCTAACGTCTTCTGAAAGTGCTGAAAATCAGATGACGTTAACGGGAGCCGTTCAGAATCGTCCGACGCTTTCCGAAAACCTTCAAAATGGTCCAACGGCTTCTGGAGGACTTCAGAACTCTCAAATATGCTCCCAAACTGTCCAGCATCGGCCAACTTCTTCTAGAGGTCTTCCGAATTCTCAAACCACATTTAGAAACCTCCAAAATGGTCCGACATCTTTTGGAAGTGTTCGAAATCGCCTAACGTCATCTGGACTTCTCCAGAGGCGTCCAGCATCAACTGGAAGCGTCCAGACTCATCTAGCGCCTCTAGGAAGTTATCAGAATTCTTCACGAATCCTCCAGCGCCGTCCAGCGTCAACTGGATTGATTGAGAATCCTCCGATGTGCTCTGGAACTCTTCAGCAGCGTCCAACGTCTTCTCCAAGTCTCCAGAATCCATCGACGCCATCTGGAACGCTTCAGAATCCTCAAATCTTAACTGGAAGCTTCCACAGCCATCAGGCGTCGTTAGGAGTCGTTCAAAACTGTCCTCCGGATTCTAGAGGTCTTCAGAATCCTCAAATCCAATCTATAGGTGTTCGGAGTCCTCCAATGTCTACTGGAAGCTTTCAGAATCCACCAACTTCTTCCGGAGTAGTTCAAAATCCTCAAATCCCATCTGGAGTTTTCCAACATTCCTTCACGTCGTCTGAATCTCTTCAGTACCCCTCCGCGTCTTCTGGATTTTTCCAAAATCCACTAACGTCTTCAGGAGCCCTTCAGAATTATCCAATAGATTCTAAAGGTCTTCAGAATCCTCAAATCCGACCTGGACCTTTCCAACATCCCTCAACGTCTTCAGGAGTTTTTCCGAATCGTTCAGAAGATTCTAGAGATCTTCAAAGCTCTCCAATGTCGTCAGGAGTCGTTCAAAGCCTTCCAGCGTCTTTTGGAACCCTCCAACACCCCTCAACGTCTTTTGGAAGCCTTCAGAATCCTCAAATCTCATCTGGAAACCTGAAAAATTGTCCAAAATCTAAAGTAATGATCCAGCAATCTCCAATGTCTTCGGAAAGTCTCCGCAACCGTCCGACGTCTTCTGGAGTGCCGGCGCAAGAAGCTGAACTCGTTGGAAGACTTTTTGACATGCTGTTTGGCCCCAGATTTGGTTCTTATATCCTAACAAGGGAACGATTTTCGGACGGACTGATTGGAAAGGAGTTTTGCTTCAAAGAAGACGTTGCCGTGGACTTTTTGGATCTTCAGGAAGAGAGTGAAGTGGAAATGGAGCCAGAAGAAGAGCCGGAAGAGGATTCAGAAGACGAGTCAGAAGAAGAGAAGGAGTGCGTGAACTGTATCCAGCTCGCCGAGCAAATTGAGAAACTCAAAAAGCAAGAAGAGGTGCTCAAAAAAGTTGCCGATGGCCTCACTGAAAAGGCCAAAAGAACGGAGTACGCTGAAGCGGAATATTTCAAAATTGAGGCGAAATTTGTGAAGGAACGAATGGTGAATATTCAAATACAGGAGGATCTTAAGAAGGAGAAGGAGAAGAAGATTGAGGAAATGGAGAAGAGCTTGAGGAAGAAGGAGAAGCAGTTGGAGGAAACGAAGAGGTGAGTTCCCCTTACCTGAGGGAATGTTCAAAGGCGCATAACTCAGAAAGGAGACATTATTTTAGAATTCTGGAATTAACAGAGAATTTTGGTGTAGAATCGTATTTTAAATTTTTTACAGCCTTAAAAATTGTTGAGTCATGCGCCTTTAAAGTTAGCGCACCCTTAAGAGGATCTCCTTGACTTCTTGTTTATTTAAAGGCGCATATCTCAAAAACCATAGCTGCTATCAAAAAACTACAAACAACAAAATTGCTCAACATAATATTTTACACATTTTTGTAGTTTACAACGTTTTGCTACCTCTTCTAGTTTTCGAGATATGCGCCTTTAAATTTAAGGCGCACAAAATAAAGCGGGAGGGGCAACTCTGGAGCGCGCCATCTTTAAAGGCGCATAACTCGAAAACCAAAACATGTACACAAAAACTACAAACTACGAAATTGCTCAAGTTAAAAATTTCCACATTTTTGTAGTTGGCCACTTTTTGATAACTTTTCTAGTTTTCGAGATATGCGCTTTTAAAGTTAGGGCGCTCAAAATAAAGGGGGAGAGGCAACTCTGGAGCGCGCCATCTTTAAAGGCGCATAACTCAAAAACTAGAAATTTGTAAAATTTGAAACATAAATTTTTGGAATCGACAGGAAATTTTAGTCTAGAAAGGTTTGAATTTGACTATCTTGAGATTTCGGAAATCAGTTTTGGTTGAAAATGGTTGAAATTTTATAATTTTAGAAGTTTTTGAAAATTTGAATTTTCATTTTTTTTGGATTTACAGGATTTTTCTTTGATTTTGATTTGAAAACTGTATTTTCTGACTCTCAAAAATTTCAGAATTCTTTTCCAGTTTTCTGCTTCAAAAAATGCCTATTTCAACCAAAGTTATGACGATTTTAAGTTGCTGGCCTAGAAAAACAAAAAAATGAGAAACCTAGGCCAACTAAAAGTTTTTAAATTCTATATCAATCGATTTCGCTTTAATTGCTCACTTTAAAACTTTTTGGGGTTTTTCAAAACTTCGAAAAGTTTTGAAATGAGCAATTGAAGCGAAATCGATTGATATAAAATTTTAAAAATTTGAGATGGCCTAGGTTTCTCGTTTTTCGGTTTTCTTATCCACAGGCTACAAATGGCTGTAAGTCGCTTCAAAATTGAAATTTTCGAAATTTTTTGAAAAGTTTTGAGATCAGCAATTCTACAGTAATCCTTTCTATTCAGAAATGCCGCCAAAACAGCCCAACAAGTTGCCCAATCGCATTCGGATGCTCTGACGACGCTAAACAAGAATCTGAAATCGCTGGAAGAGGAAAAATCAAAAGTTCAGAATTCGCTGAAACAATCGAGAACTGAAAATCAGCGGAAAAATGCTGCAGCATCGAAATTGGGTTCTCAGAACAAGATGTAGGCGTTTTAAAAATAATTTTGAAAACAAATTTTTTCTAAAAATTTCAGCCTGACGGACAATGTGGCCCAATTGGAGCAAAAGCTGAAAAATGCCAAGGACGCGGAAAACAAGACGATTCAGAATCAGAAAAATCAGATTCAGAAGTGAGGGACATTTGGAAATTTTTGAAAAAAAAATTTCATTTTTTGGAATTTCAGCCAAATTATTCTGGATTTTCAGACAATTTTCAAATGTTTTTTTTTTTAATTTAAATTTTCAGTCTGAACAAAAAATGTGGACAGCTGGAGAAGGCTGAGGAGGCTGCAAAATTGGAGAACGAGAAGCTGAAAATGGAAATTGAGAAGATGAAAATTGAGTTTCAGAAGAAGTTGGACGCGATTCCGAAACCAGTTCCGTGAGTATGGTTATACAGTAGTCCGGATTTTTGAGGAATGTTCGAAATTTCGAAATTTTGAAATATTTGGAATTTCTGGAATTTCTGGAATGTTTGGAATTTTGGAATTTTGGGATGTTTGGAATTTTTGGAATTTTAGAATTTTTAGAATTTTTAGAATTTTTGGAATTTCTGAATTTCTGAATTTCTGAATTTCTGAATTTCTGAATTTCTGAATTTCTGAATTTCTGAATTTCTGAATTTCTGAATTTCTGAATTTCTGAATTTCTGAATTTCTGAATTTCTGAATTTCTGAATTTCTGAATTTCTGAATTTCTGAATTTCTGAATTTCTGAATTTCTGAATTTCTGAATTTCTGAATTTCTGAATTTCTGAATTTCTGAATTTCTGAATTTCTGAATTTCTGAATTTCTGAATTTCTGAATTTCTGAATTTCTGAATTTCTGAATTTCTGAATTTCTGAATTTCTGAATTTCTGAATTTCTGAATTTCTGAATATTCTAAACCTTAACTTTCAAATTTCCAGTCCACCAATCCAAATTGCTCCACCGCAAGGCCCCGCCCCTTCCCTGTCCAATCTGTCCTCCATGGTCGTATCAGCCACCACCTCCATCAGCGACGTCGACGACGTCGACGTCTTCTGAATCGACGTCTTCACTTTTTTCATTTTTCGGATCGCTGATTCCTGGACCACCGGATGATTCGAGATGTTTTGTGTGCACGTGGCGAATTGATGAAACTGAATATCGGATGACATGTGAATCGTGCTCTCGGAAAATTCATGAGCGGGTACTGTATTTTGAAATTATTGGTTTGAAATTTTAATTTTCTGATTCGCCAAAATCCCAGAGTTCTTTTCCAGCTTTTTCCTCCGAAAAATATCCATTTTTCGCCATGTTATGACGATTTTAGAGTTGCTGGCCTAGAAAACCAAAAAATGAGAATCCTAGGCCACGGAATTCGTTGGAATCTTTTACAAATAGATTTTGTATGAATTGCTAATTATAAAACTTTTTGAAATTTTCAAAAATCACAATTGCGAAGCGAGTTATAGCCATTTGTAACCAATGGCCTAGAAAATGAAAATTCTATGCCACGGTTTAAAAAGGGCTGTAACATGCTTCAAAGTTGAGATTATTGAAAATTTCGAAAAGTTTTAAAATGAGCAATTTGAACCACATCTATTAGCAAAATTTTTAAATAAATTATGATGGCCTAGTTTCCCCTATTTTTGGTTTTCTAGGCCAAGGGGGATGAATGGGAAAAACCTAATTTTTTGATTTTAAAAATTCCGGAATTCTTTTCCAGCTTTCTCCTCTGAAAAATATCCATTTTCAGCCAAGTTATGACGATTTTAGTGTTGCTGGCCTAGAAAACCACTTTTTTTCGAGAGAACTAGGCCACCGATTTTGTTATGGTTTTTTGTTAATTGATTTTGTATTAATTGCTCATTTTAAAACTTTTTTCAGACACTCAAAATTTTGATTTTGAAGCGAGTTATAGCCATCTGTAACCAATGGCCTAGAAAATGGAAATTCTAGGCCACGGAGTTCAAATGGCTGTAACTCGCTTCAAAATTGAGATTTTCGAGTTTTTCAAAAAGTTTTGAGATGAGCAATCAAACCAAAAAAGAATATCTAGGTTTTAAATTTTCCATTTTTTCAGTGCGGTCAAAAACTGGGACCACACACTGGACTGTGCTTCAAATGCAATCTGGACTAATTTTGAGATTTTTCGTTTCAAAATTTGCAATCAGTTAAAAATTGCGACTCGATTAGTTGCTCATTCAGTTAATTATTTAATTGTTTATTTATTTATTTATTATAGCCCTTTGAAAATGTCATTTTCATTAATTTCACACCTTTTTTGTCTGGTTTAACCAATTTTTTTTGAATTTTTTTTTGTGATTCAAATCTTTTGGGTTACTGTATTTCTCTAAATCTACAGTAACCCTGTTTCATCACCCTAATTATCTTGTATTACTGTACTTGAGTTACTATATGATCACTGTATCACATATTGATATAAATTTACAATTTTGGTCTTTATTTACATCCCAAATCATCATTTCATTTGATTTTATTTGACAACTTCCAGATAGATAATTGCATTTTGTCATATCAGCAAGTACATTTGTAGGATATTTTTGATCGTAATGAGAAAAAATTTTTGTTTCAATTAATATGCAATTTTCCTTTAAATATCGTTTTGATCTGAATAAACTAGTAAATCTATTAGGATAATCAACTTCAATCTTGTTGTTTGTTAAAAACGAGTGATCTCCTTTTTTCATTCTTCCAAATTCACAATACTTATTTTTTATCATATCTTCACATTCTTTCTTTGTAATCGCTTTATTATTAATCTCTTTTTCTACTAAATGTTCATATCCACTTAAATCTGTATGTAATGATACTTCTGAACTATTTTTTTACAAAAATGAGCACTTGATACATATTCTATAGTATTTGGTTTAAAAACTTCATATCTTATTATTTCTGTTGCATTATTATAAATATAATTACATTTTGGTAATTTGGGAAACTTAAAATATTGAACTGGTGAAGTATCGCTGCATAATATGGGATTGGAATTTGTAAAAGAAATGAATAATGAACAGAGTAGAAATGGTTGAAATGTGAGCGATTTTGAAGAGAATAAAATCATTTTAAATTATTTCTGATTTAATTATAAAAAAATAAATGAAAAAATTTTAAAATTAATGTTAAATTACTTTAACACGATTATCTTTTATTTCTACAATATTGTTACTCATAATAAGACAATAACATCTTGTGCTTTGTGCAATATTTTTGGAAAAAGAAGCCTTAATTGTTACATCAGGTCTTGACTGTATAATTCTATCATTTTGTTTAGATACATCAAAAACTAGTAATGGATAATAGTGATAGTATACATCCTCTTCAATAAAAATGCAATCTTTATTTGTTTCATAATAGCTATTTCTAAACTCTTTAGCAAAATTATATTGTTGAACAGCGTTAAATTTATCAAAATCAAACTTCAAACATTCGTACGGGTAACGTTCACTATTTAGTTCAACATAAATTTCTTCTAATCCACAATTATCAAATCTACTAGCGTTTGTATAATTATTATCTCTTGAACATTGAAAAGCAACAACGAAATATTTAATTTTATCGTATTTTGTGCCTAATTTCCATGTAAATTCTCTACATCCATTTGGAATATTGTAACTCTCAAATTGTCTAGATATGAATGGTAGATGAAGAATCTTTCTACTTTCATGTATATTCATAAGTTTATTTTGCATTTCTAGGCTTGGAATTATTTTAGGAATAAGCCATTGTAATTTTTTAATAGTTAACTTTGCAGTATATTTTGTAGGATCTGAAGATACTATACTATTTTTATTATCAGGTGATCTATATAGAGAAAGAGTATGTTTTCTTCCATAAATTATCTTATTATAACATTCTGCAAATCCAAAAATATGAGCTAGTGGAATACAAAAAGTTAGATTTCCTTTTCTATTATTTGTGTATTTGTTGATTTTATATGCCATTATGTCTTTAGTTTCTAAAATCCATGAAAACGTATTTTGTTTATTCATGTTTGATGAATAAGTTAAAATTCCTTTCATTAAACTCGCTCTTCCAGGGTCTATAATATTTTCGACTTGTATTCCATCCATACAATAAGTTGCTCTATCAAAAAGGAATATAGGTGCATTATTAGTTAAAGTAACTCTATCTTCTTCTATCAAATCAGAATCATCATTTTTAGACAATCTTGCTTCCAAGTAAATATAACTTTTATTAAGCAATAAATACTGATCACAACTTTCAATTATAAAATTTATTTCTCTATTTTGATTTAAACTTGAGCCTGAAGATGGAAAAATATTGATTAAATTCTCTTTTTGAATTGAAGTATCATTTATTACTGGATTATCAATAGTTAAAATTTTATCAATTGCTTCCATTTATAAAATAAAAAAATAAGAAAGAAAACTATTTTTCAAAATTAGATAATTCATTATGGGTCTGATAGATTACTTTCAGGGATCCATGAATTAAATTTTTCTGGATATCCATACCATTTCACTAGTACTTCTCTTTTTCCATTTCGAGTTCTCCGTTTTAGAATTTTTTCGATATGATATTTATTTTCAATATTTTTATGTAAAGTTAGTTCTTCCTCATAAAACTTTCCTTTGATTTTCTCATCCGCTAAATCTTTAATCTCGTATGTGATAGGAGAGGTGTTATGAACTTTATCAATTTTAAACTGTTCTGTACTCCAATTCGGTAGATATCCTTTTGCAAATATAGTCTTGTATTTTGTAACTCTTACAGTGTCACCAATATTGAATTTTGTTTTTTTATTGGGTACTTCTAGTAATTGAGTGTTTCCAAACAAGTTTTTGTGTACAATTGTCTTATTTTTAGGATCACTTGCTTTAATTGGTGACATTTTTATACTTCTATGATATGAATTATTATAATTGTTGACTAAATCACCTAGACTTTCTATCCATTTATGATTATCATTAAACGTAAATATCTTCCACATTTTCTCTTTTAGTGTTCTATTAAATCTTTCAATAATTGAAGCTTTTTTATCTGATTCTGTAGAAAAATGAATGATACTATTAGCTTTAAAAAGTTTATTTATTTCCTTGTTATAATATTCTTTTCCTTTATCCGTTTGCATTTTTTGAGGTTTTCTTTGCTTGAAAATTGTTTGAAGTGCTTGTGATGTTGTAAATCCATTTTTATTTTTTAATGGGACTACCCATGCATATTTTGAAAAGCAATCAATTACAGTTAATAAATATTTAAAGCCATCATTTTCTTCTGAATAAGGAATCATTTCAACTAAATCAGATTGCCACTGTTCATCAATGTCATGAACGTAAACTCTTTCTGTTGTAAAATTTTTACGTGCTGGTTTGTGCAGAGTGTAAACATCTTGCTGATTTAGGAACTCTGTTACTTCTTTTTGACTCTTTTAGACTTCCTTGTCAATTCATTTATTCCACAAAAACCGGTTTTTTCATCATAATAAATCTCTTTTAAAGCCTTAACTTTTCTGGAATTTACTTTTTTAGGTTGGGGATAGATTTCACCTCCAACTGCTTCATTCTTTACGAATTTACATTTTGTTGAATCACATATGCTGCATTTACCTTTACCATTTTCCGATTATTTTTTGTAATTATTTGCTCATTACCTTTTGTTTCTGTTCTTTTTTTACATTTCATACAGAATACCAATTCTTTTTCTTGTTTTGAATTGTAATCATTCATTTAATATTTATATTATTTCCATTTTTTATTGTTTTAAATTAAACTAGCCGCACCATTAAATTTTAAAAATTATTGCTGGTCAAACTCAATTTTACAAAGCATAAAAACGAGCTTGAGAACTGGAAACTAAATAAATGCTTCGTATACTTTCTTTCTATTTGAATTCATTGTCTTATCACTCGATTCTGCATTAGGGTTTTATTGATGTGGAAGGAGTAAAAACGAGATAACAGTTGTTTGGAGAGTACTAAGCAATAAGACTGATCAAATAGGAATGGTCTCGATGCTGGTTTGATAGAGAAAAGAGGGGAAAAGATTGAGGGAGCATTCTAGGCTTTTCCATAAATGATAGTCAGGACGCACAACGCATTGACACTATCTCATCAGTACACACATGTAAGTATGTATAGGGTGTCAGTAGGGAGGCTGGCAGTACCATGCGATAGCGATTTCCATCCTTCTCTCATTCATATAAGCGAGTTCACCACCACATTTGTCAGTTTTCAGTATATTTTTAAAGGAGATTTTTTTGATGTTTTTGTATAAAGTAAGTTTTTCTTTGTTTATATTTTAAACTTAAATTAACTTGATTGATTAGACTTTAAAATATAAACAAAGAAATGTGTAGTTTTTTTTTAATTTAAATTAAATTTTATTTTT